CCTTCCAGTGAGCACTCAGGCTTGATTTCCTTCAGGATGGATCGGTTTGTTCTCCTTGCAGTCCAGGGGACTCTCAAGAGGCTCCTCCAGCACCACAATTCAAAAGCATAATCGTCAGCCTTCTTTATGGTCCAGCTCTCACTTCCATACAGGAAAAACCATAGCTTTGACTATGCCTACTTTTGTTGGCAAGGTGGAAGTCCACCTTTGAGCCTTCTGCAAATCCAGCACTGCCATCTGCTGACAGTGGATTAAGTTGCACCAAAGTTTTCGTGATTTAGATTGCAGCTTTGTATATTGCAGAGAGAAGGTCAGCGCAGCCAAAGTGAACGTGTGTAAACTCTTAGGGGGATGAAAAAGTGTTTCTCTGTGGCTCCTTCATGACCAAAGTATGTGCTCATAAATGATGTCAATGAGGAAAGACGGAAAAAGCTGGGCATGTTGAGCCTTGAGAAAAGACGGAGGGGAGATAGGAGAGCACTTTTCAAAGGCTTGAAAATTCAAGAAAAAATTGTGCAACCACCTATCAGGGCGTTGGATTGCCAGGTCAACAACATGTGCCCAAATACAGTCTCCAGTTTGGGGCCATGTAGAAATATTTGCCATGTAGTCCCATTCTTATGTCTGCGGAAGTGGAGTTGTCCACAAAAGCTCACATTAAAATACAGGTGCCACAACATTTTTGTCTTTTTCTTTTTTATTATTTCTCTTTTGTTTTTGCCTGGTTTTCTTTTCAGGCATCTAATCACAAAAAAGGAAGAAAAAAAGAACCAATTAAGCCAATTTGCAACATGCAAAGCAAGGTCCTGCGTTTATCATACTGGACTGAAATGTCATGTGTACATTAGGCATCTAAGTTTCTACAGACATGTCGGTGTGTTCTTCTCATTCTCAAGCAAATCGCTGATGGGTTTGCTTGGTTATTGTCTTCTTTTTGTGATGGGAAGAATTGTACTGAGTGTTTGTATAGCCAGGGTCGTGAGAGGACAGGAAGAAGGGCTCAGGAGATGGATCCGGCCATGTGGAACCCAGGAGGATCAACCACAGAGTTCACAAAGTGTTGAAATGTTCTCTCCTGTCTTTTACTCACCCAGCACAGGTCTGCGATGTACATGGCGTACGGGATGGGGACTGTGTTGGTCACCATGGGAAGCACTTACTTGCTGATCATCTTGTCCCACTGCCTGGCAATGTACACAATCGCGCTGACTAAACAGAAATGGCTCTGCTTCCTCGCTGGCCTGTGCAGCCTGGCTTCATTCAAAGTGGAGCCCTTCAGCACCTGGCAGGTAGGTCCGGGTGCAGCCGGAGGTGTGGTTTTGCTGAGCTGGTAAGGCCAAAACTGGTGTGGACTGTCAAGGCCGAAATGGGAGGCAAGGGAGCATTTCTTGGAAGAACTGTGTAGTGTTGGTGATGAGGACTGAGGTTGTGACATGGGAAACGTGCAAATTAAGCCATTGTGCAGTTGCGCGCAGGAAGTTGGGTTTCCCCGGGGTTAATTCAGCCAGCCACACAGAGGTCAGCAAAGAGAGGGGAGGAACTAAGCCTTGTTTGCAGCTTGTTAATCATTTGAATCCTCTGCTCTCCACACCTGGTGTCTGGGTCTGCTGATTTCCCTCTTTCCATTCTGTTTCTCTCTCATACCTTTTTTTTATCTTCTTCTAAAGGGTTCCTGTCCTAGTGCTAGGACAGGAGAGAGAGAAAAAGAGAGAGAGAGTGCAAAGAATCAGCAGAGAAAGAGGAGGAAGTTTTCACTCCAGCCTCGTTTCCAGCTTGTTACGGTAGTTCTGCTCTGGCCATCCAGATTTTCAGGAGTCATGGTTAGAGCAGATTTACGTAAACAACTTCTCTCCAGTGATCTCTCCCTCTTTCTTTTTCCCCCTTCTGTCACCTAGACAGAGGGCTAGATTAGCATCTTTTAAAAGAAAAAGAAAGAAATGGGATGGGATGGGAAGAGAAGGGATGGCACCAGCAGTCCTAGGCACCAGTATGGGGAGGAGAGGCTTCAAGTGGCAGTCAGTTTCCCTGGTGCCCTGCCTCTCTCATTGCTGCTGTAGCTATCTAGAATGGCTTGAAATACAGCAGCTAGAAATCTTTCCACAACAGCTCAAGTGATCACAAACTAATGCATATGCATTCAATTCCAAAAAAGCAGAAGCCCCAGCAGCAGAGGGGAAAAATATGGATTTGATGAGGAAATGCTCCAGGTTGTTTTGCAATGACTTTTATGTCACCTATAATAATTGTGTGCCATTAAGTCAATTCTGATTTATGGTACGCCTTTCCAGGATGTTCTAGACAGAGAATACTCAGAAGTGGTTTACGGATCCCTTTTTCTGGGGGTGCCCTGGAAATGTGCAGCTTGCCCAAGGCTGCACAGGCTGACGCTATTTCTATCAAATCCTCAACCTCTGATTCTGCACGCCACTGAGCTATCCGGCCAGCTTATGTCATGTAGCCCGTGGAAAATAATGTGAATCAAACCATCCCATTCCCAGAGTATGTCCCTCATTATTTGTCAGCAGTGTTGCACCCTGATTTGGAGCAATCCCTGGGCTTTCCTCTTCCCTTTACTTACGGCTGAATCTTGCTTGAATGATTACTTCCTACTATAATGTTTTCCCTCCAGACACAAGATTCCTTCAAAGCATGCATGGTCTTGCAAAAGAGGTCCATGATCTTGTAGCCATCACTCATCCCAATGCAAAAAGGAGCTGATTCACAAAATACAGAATGCTGCAAGCGTATGCTGGTGCAATCCCTTCAGGGAGTTCTGCTCTGCTCTTAACGATGTGCTAATTGTGTCACCTAGTTTGAGTCATGGGCTGTTTCTCAACTGCTTCACTCTTAGATGGAGATGAGGATAGTTCCGTTTTTAGACTGTCCATCCCGGAACGGAACAGCCAACACGGCTGCCAAAATTCCAGGGGTTAGAGTCTTAACATAGGAACTGGATCATGCACTGGGAATCAACCAGAAGGAAACCATTTCATGAAAAGGAGCTAGATTTCCCATAATATCAGGAATTATAGGAGCCAGTGGAAAGTGCCTCAGTAGAAAGATAGCAGCTGATGGATGGCTGTGGTTCTTTGGATTCATACAGGACAGAGGAAAAGAAGGCTGAGGGGAGATATGACAGCACTTTTCCAAAACTTGAAATATAGTCCTACATAGGAGGGGCAGGATGCGTTCTAGATCATCCCAGAGCGCAGGACGCGTCATCATGGGCTCAAGTTACAGGAAGCCAGATTTTGGCTGAATATCAGGAAAAACTTCCTAACTGTTAGAGCAGTACGATAACGGAACCAATGACTTCGGGAGGTGGTGAGCGCTCCACCAGTGGAAGCCTTCAAGAGAAAATTGGAGCACCCTCTCTCTGCTCTGCTTTGACTTGGATTCCTGCCTTGGGGAGGGGGTTGGACTTGATGGTCTTAGAGGCCCCTTCCAACTCAATAGTTCTATGATTCTATGATTCTAAAAATGTATTGTTGAATGATCATATATATGCTCCCAACCAGGGTTTCACTAGAGGCACAGTACTGTAAGTTAGTTGCCTCCCATTCCTTACACAAGAGCCATGCATTGGCCATGGGAAACGTGTCTATGGTGGCAACTGATTTCAGATGGCTGTGCTAGGTGCGGATTTTGGGAAATGAAGTCCGAAAAAGTAATATTCCCAAGTTTGGGTCTAGTGTGGAAGACCGGTTGAAGGGCTCCCCCTGTAATGGACGAGACTCTGAAACAGCCTCTTCTCCTCGGCATACGTGTAACTATTCTCTTTTGTCCAGAATGGGTTTGTAACAGGAACTTTTGATCTTCAAGATGTTCTCTTTTACGGAGGAGCCGGCTTCAGCGTCATGCGTGCCATGAGTTTCGCCCTGGAGAACTGTGAGCGGAAAGAAGGGAACTTTTCTGTCTTCGCCCTGCTGAAATACAACTTCTACCTCCCCTTCTTCTTCTTCGGACCCGTCATGACCTTTGACCGATTCCATGACCAGGTGGGGCACCTTCAGCTCATGTGCCCGGTTCGCTTGGGATTGGCTGTGCATGCATGCACCCGCCCCGCCCCCTCTACAGAGGGACATGGATAGCCATGCTTACGTGAAAACCTGCACCACCAAAAGCAAAACATTGCCTGATTCCTGATGCCCGCAGTGGTGTTGTACCCAAAGAGTGGAGGATCCTAACACCTCACAAATACATCCAGATGTTGAGCTGCATGTGAAATTGAGTTATGCTGCTTCTCTTAGATGGGTTCTCCTCCTAGGGACCCCATGAAAATCTTGCTGCTTTGTCCCTCGCACTTACCTCTACAAAATCCACCCATTTGGGAGAGTAAGCCAGAATTCCCCATTGTTGTTATTAATGCAGTGTCTAAACACATGTGAATGAGGTGGCAACCAAGGAAGGACAGGTTTGTCTGATGGCTGTGATCAGTAGGGGCAGACATCCCACCAGCCCTATGTGTTCAATTAAACCAGCCCTATTCAATTTTGCTTTAAAGCGGTGGTTCCCAAACTTGGGTCACTCAGGTGTTCTTGGACTGCAACTCCCAGAAATCCTGGCCAGCACAGCTGGTGGTGAAGGATTCTGGGGGTTTTAAAGAACATCTGGGACTCAAGATTGGGAACCAAGGCTTTAAAGTGGGCCACACTCACAAACATTGACGGGAGAGGCAAATCCCATTTAAATACAGAATCGTTCAGCCCCCCAACTCCACTTTGAATATTGGAAATGCAACTCCCTGAAAAGAGAGAGGCTGGTGGCTATGTGGTGGCCTCTCTAGGAGAGCCAACCCTCACTCCAAAAGTTGGGGGTCTGGCTCACATCGAGAGGTTAAACATGCCCCCACTCCTCAAACAATGTGTTTCTACAGCGAAAGACACAAATGAGTTTGGTGGGATCATCACACTCCCTCCTTTCAATTCATGTTGGCTTCATGCACTTTATAATAATCATGTCCCGTCAAGTCAATTCTGACCCTCTTCAGAGTTTTCGAGGTAGAGAATACCGTATTTTTCCGTGTATAAAATGACACTTTTCCCTTAAATAATTTGTGAAAAAATTGGAGGGTTGTTTTATACACGGAAGGCAGCTCTTTATCACTGCCTTTTGCGAAGGCATGGGGCTTAACAAAAAGGAAGGGGAGGCATTGCTCCCTTCCTTTCTGCTAAGCTCTGTGCCTTCTCAAAAGGCAAGGGCGTGCGGGGCTTAGCAAAAGGGAAGGGAGATGTTACTTCCTTCTGTTTTGCTGAGCTCCGTGCCTTCTCAAAAGTCAAGGGTGTGCAGGACTTAGCAAAAAGGAAGGGAGATGTTACTCTCTTCCATTTTGCTGAGCTCCGTGACTTCTCAAAAGGCAAGGGCACACGGGGCTTAGCAAAAAGGAAGGGGAGACATTGCTCCGCAGCATGCAGTTGATGCTGTTTTCTCGTGCGCCTCCTTTGCCATTCATGCGCTGTCTGTTTCTCTTCATATTCTCCCTACGCACACCTCCCATATACCCCCTTGGCCACAGGTACACATCAGTGAGCTGCGGCGGAAAGATTATGAGATGTGGCACATCCACGTCCATGCTCTCATCCATCTTGTGGCCATTGTGGTTGTGGACATCTTTTTCCATTTCTTCTACATCCTCACCCTCCCTTCGGACATGAAGTTTGTGAGCCACCTCTCCGACTGGGCATTAGGTAAATAAGCTCGTCTCCCGTCCGATGCTCTTCGGTGCTGTGAAGCAGAGTTCAACAGACTTCACCCTCACAGGGTCTACTTTTCTTTCTTTGCTAGAAAGCGAAGACCTGTCCGTCAGAGCCAGGTACAAAACAGTGCCATGGATGGTGTGTGGACATCCTCTTAGAAACTAGGGCACTTCTAGCCACATGCCCAGTCCAAGGAGTTATTTTCAGTCTCCCAATCCAGTCACCCGAGAATCCATTCCTGGTTTTCCTACTCCCTTTCCTTCTGTCTCAGCATCCTAATTTTGAAGAGAGCAGGAAAACTTTTTACTGCAGTTGTTATAACCATCAAGAGTGGGAGTTCCCGATGATGGTCATTTGCAAAGTACCCAGAGATCATCTATCCACACTTGTCCACCTTTTGCTGTTGTCATGGATCGTGACTAGTGCCAAAATACAATTCTATACCAAATGGATTGCCTGCTGCTCTTACAGAGATGCCGTTTGGCCTTTAGGCAGAGGAACGTCTTTGGCTAACCCTGGATTGTCACGCTCTGGTGCGTGACAAAGATCTCCACCAGTGTCTTCCCATGCCACTATTCTTATCCACTTTTATGCCCACCCCACACCTGAGAGTTGAGTGATTCTCCCATTGTCACCTACTGAATTCCATAGGTTGATGGGGAGTTCAACCTGGTTCACTCAAGGTTTAAGCTGGCCACCTGACCACCACCCGATGTGGCCCCCATGATCTTCTGTCCCTGGACCCACAAAACCCACCATTGGCAGTCTTCTTCATTCATCTTTTCTTCCACAGCTGGCCTGGCATACTCCAACCTGGTGTACGACTGGGTAAAAGCTGCCGTGATGTTTGGGGTCATCAACACCATTGCCAGGCTGGATCACCTGGACCCGCCTCAGCCCCCCAAGTGTATCACCATGCTCTACGTTTTTGCGGAAACGTGAGTCTCCCTCAATACCTTTGCCAGCAAAGTTGGCGCCATGGACTGGGAGTTTTCTCCCATCATGAGCTGACTCCTTGAGGGGGAGAAGTAGCCCCCGGGTGGGAAGCTCTAAAGCAGTGGTCCCCAACCTTGGCCCTCCAGATGTTCTTGGACGTCAACTCCCAGAAATCCTAGCTAGCAGAGGTGGTGGGGAAGGCTTCTGGGAGCTGTAGTCTAAGAACATCTGGAGGGCCAAGGTTGGACACCACTGCTCTAAAGCCAGAAGAGAAGGTTATGGAGTAGTAGGAAAATCAGATGACTCCCATGTGGCTCGGATGAATCAATCCTCTCTGGCTTTTGGTCGGAACTTTGAAGGTCCTTTTCAGAGCACTGGACCGGTTTGAGGAAGAGTTGTCTTGTAAATTTAGGACTAAAGCTAAACTTTTTAAAAGCAAAATTCTTAAACTTTTAAAATGGGGAGAAGTTTGGGATGGCTTTGTAGGCTTCCCAAATGCCCTAAGGGGTACACGTGGCCCACCCTGAATTAATTGATTAAATGCTTCTGATTTTCCTTATTTTTGCTCTTTTTTTTCCTGCAGGCACTTTGACAGAGGGATTAATGATTGGCTTTGCAAGTAAGTTTTACTTATTTCGATGCTCTGCTTTCCATGTCTTGGGTCCTGTGGGAGACTTTTATTTATTGGGACCCCAAACCCCACCCCACCTTCACACCATTAGCAGTCTGTGAGGGAAGAAAGAAGTTCGCCTCCCTTGAGTTTCCACACTTCCTTGGAGCAAGGGAACTCCCGAGTCATTCTGGTGACACCGCTGGTTTCATTTTGGTTTCCTAGGTACGTCTACGATTATCTTGGAGGAAACCACGACCACATTTTGAAGGAGCTGGTGGCCACCGTCTCCACGTTCGTCGTCACCACCCTCTGGCTGGGCCCTAGTGAGATCGTTTACATCTGGTCCATCTGCAACTGCTTCGGCCTCAATTTCGAGTTGTGGGTGCAGCTGTTCTTTCAGCTGAAGCCCTTCGCCAACATTGAGGTAAGACCCTCATCCTTTATGCCTTCTTGGCCTTCTACAGCTCTCTCTGTGTACGAGGCTTCCCTTGGGACTGGTCCGGAGGTTATTTGTTGTTGTTTATTTTTTTATTTTATTTGATTTATTTGATTTATACCCTGCCTATCTGGACCAATGGACCACTCTAGGCGGCTTCCAATATAAAATTAAACAATAATTTAATTGTTCAGTTGTTGAGTTGTGTCCAACTCTTCGTGACCCCACGGACCAGAGCACCCCAAGCCCCCCTGTCTTCCACCGCCTCCCGGAGTTGGGTCAAAGTCATGTTTCACATGTCACATGTCTGGTTATCAAGGTGATGATGGAATCTGATGATGCTTCTCTTTTTGTACTGTTTCATGGGATGATGCTGACAAGGCTGTGATGTTGGCATCTGTTGCATAGGTCTGATGATGAGTTTTGTTTCCCAGGCAATCCTGTTATGTTGCCTGCTTCGGGAGTAAGTGCTCATCTGTTGCCTTGACCCTGACTTTTTGCAGTCATTTTGGGGGTTCTCTAGGGCTCGATTCGGTCAGAGCGATCCTCTCTCCTCTCCTGCTTTAGAACTTACTCTCTAAGTCCAGGGACCGAGCCAAGAAGCCAGGTGTGAGAAATTCCCTGTTCTTTCTTGATCATATTCCAGATCTTCTCTTAACAGGCAACGATGTCAGAGGCCATGTCTCGACGGATCAGAGGCTTCTTTGGGGCAGCAAATTTCTGGGCCATCGTCCTGTACAACATCCTCGCCCTCAACAGTCTGGATTTTGCTCTTCTGGTTGCCGAGAGAATTCTCCTGACAGGTATGGCTTCCCCAGTTGAGTGGCCCATCCCCTCTAATAATAATTATTATTATTCCATACAGTTGACTCCATTCCGACTGATGACAGGGCTCCTACATACAGAGGTGGCTTACTGTTCCATTTTGTCAGGGTACTCTTGAACCTCGTCATTTGCCGGAGGCTGCAAAGACTGGCTTTATGTCCCAAGACTGGCTTTATGTCCCAAGGGACACGGGGCAGAATCAAACTCCTGGCTTCTGGCTCTGTAGCCAAGTATCCTGACAGCTTAGATGGCTAGAAATGGTCTTCACAATGGCCACGCCTGTTAGTCTCCTTAAATTCCGGTCCCCCTGGAGAACCTTCGGCTAACAGCTGGCCAAGTTATTTGGAATCAATAAGTGAAATTCAATGCCCGTTGCCTCCTTGACTTCTCATCTCCTCTCTGTCTCCCTTCCTGTCAATAACCCCTGCTATATCCTTGGTTCTTTACGAGATTTTTACTCAGAACAATTACAGTGGTGCCTCGCTTAACGATTTTAATTGGTTCCAAAAAAAATATCGCTATGTGAAAACATTGTTAAGCGAAAAACCATTTCCCATAGAGATGCATTGAAAACCGGATAATCCATTCCAGTTGGAACGGATTACCATCCTTAAGCGAACATCCCCATAGGAAAAAATGTTAAGCGAAACCCATTGAAATAATAAGTGAAATTCAATGCCCGTTGCCTCCTTGACTTCTCATCTCCTCTCTGTCTCCCTCCCTGTCAATAACCCCTGCTATATCCTTGGCTCTTTACGAGATTTTTACTCAGATCAATTACATACCTAATTATTTTGCTCTATTGAAATATTTCTATCCCACTCTACGTTGAGAGATCTTAGGGTAGATATAGTCATGGGGTACCGCTTAAAACAATTAAAAACAGTCCAAATATTCACAGAACGCGTCTTCCTTCAGCAACGCTGGGGTTAGGGGCGCCAGACCCCCAAGTAATTCAAAATCTCTCTATAACTCTCATGCCCCCTCATAACTACAAAGCACAAAGAGTTGATTCAGTTGTTGAATCAACTCTTTGTGAACCAACAAAGGGTTGATTCACATGCAAGCACGCACTGCCCGGACTGTCAACCTCCCAGCATGCCCCAGGACCCTCCCCGGCTGCCATGTGAAGCCACCATGAGAGGAGAGGGGGGCCAGCCAGACTCCCACCATCAGACCAGGGGGCTCCCACACTGCCAACCAGACAGGGCTCTAGGGTAAGCCCGAGACCCACCTCTCTCAGGCCATTGCCAGGAGATGAAGAGCAGCACAGTATTGATTTTCTAATTTATTTATTGAACTATTGATTGGTTGATTGAAAAAAAGTGTATAGCCAACACCATGCCGCTCAGATCCACGCCATTCAAGGGATAAGCGTACAACAACCCTCTAGGGCTGGCCAATGGTGTATTACAAGCAGAGGTTTGAAAAATAATAGCAGCATCTCTAAAGCTGCCCAGGGGCAAAATTTGAACTCTGGACCATATCCCTGGTGGCTGTAGTCCAGATTAATTGTAGTTGTCAAATTAATTAGAGTTAAGATTTATTGCAAACCCGAAGGACTGCCTCAGTCCCCTTTTGAAAAGCTCTCTGGGCTTTCGGCTCTAATTGTGGTTTACCTAGCACGGTTTCTGACGTTCTTCCTGCGTCTCAGCGGACAGAGTTTGTCTGAACGGGTCCACCAGCTCCGAAACGTCCCTCTTCAGACCCCAGCTGATCGCTTCCTCCCTCTGTCCTCATTCTCAGGTTTCCCCCTCAGCACCATCTCCATCTGGTTCATCACTTACTGCGGGGTGCAGCTGATCAAGGAGAGGGAACGCATGCTGGCCATACAAGAAGAGGAGAAGCGAGACAAGGAAAAGGCAGAGTAAAGGAGAACCCGCTTTCCAAAGGGGCGCCCGCCCTGCCCTGCCCCACGGCCACCCATCCCCACAAAGCCAGAGAACCCAACCTCTCCGCCTTGAGCCCCATAGGCTGCCGGCCGAGAAGCCACGCCGTAGCCGTGTATAAATTCCCTTGTACAAGACGATCCTTTTCCAGTTGAAATAAAAGAGTATTTTCTATAAGACTTGAAGGTATGTGCTCCTAGAGTTATGATGGAAATCAGGGGCTGGGCCCAGGATGTTCTGGTGCTGAGCCTCCCTCCCTCCCTCAAGGCAAACGGAAAATCATCATGTTAATTTTTTATTTTTTTTTGCAACGGAGCTAGAAAATGTCCAAGAAATGCAATTTTAAAAAAAACTACTGGCAATGACCGGAAATGTCTATACAAAACACTCTTCCCTTGCTACCATGCTTCAGATATTTAATTGACCGCAGTGCTGCTAATTTCTGGGCCACTGCAGTTCTGCAAGGAAATCATTCCAGTTTAGAAATGGCCCCCGGAGCAGTCAGATACAGTAGGACCCCCATATTCATGGAATCTCTATCCACAGTTTTACTTATTCACAGTCTGAAATTATTAAAAATATTAAAAGAGAAAAAAACACACAGAGAAATATGTATTTGCACAAGACTATTTACCAGAGGTGGCAACTAGAGGGAGACATAAACCATGCTATGGATAGGATTTGCAATTACCTGCACTTTTTGGTATCTGCAGGAGGGGGGGCTTGGAACCAGTTGCTCCCTAGATACAGGGGTCGTGCTCTATTCATCTGTCATCGCCTCACATGATGACATCATCAACCTTAAGCAGGCCAAGTGGCACCAACAGGATTTCTGCCAAGATGTTGCAGGTGGCTAAGGATGCCAGGTAAGTAGCCTCCCACCTGTAGAGATTTCAGAATCAGAACTTGGAGCAGAGAGCGGGTCCAAATGATGTCACGGAGAGGACCCTCGTGATGTCACAGAAACAGGGCAGGCAAGAGCTGGGAGGGAAATAAACTCAACACATAAACACCTTCATTTTTTAGCCAGCAGTGATAATTGGTCATGAGCGGAGACTGCTTTAAAGTCCCCTTCACGGACACACAATATCAAACTTTCTTCTTGCCCCCAGATTTTTCTACCTGTCTGGGGACTCAAGGAAGTATAATAATTCCTGGGTACTTCGGCTGGCAATCTCAGCCCTGAAAACTCTAGCAAGGGTTGCCACGTGGCTTTGGAGGGCTTCAGAAGGGAGAACGTGCTTATTTTATTTATTATTCATTCATTTCTTTAATTATCTGTGCTTTCTGGTCACGATATCCATATAGTACCTCCAGTCAGGGGTGACCGGTGATTCCAATTTCAGAGGCTCTGAGAACCCTCTCCAGCGTTTATTTGGGATTTTGCAGACACTGAGAACTATTCAGGGAGTGGAACTGAGCGCCTTCGAGAGCGCGTGCAAACATCGTGCCGATGAAAAACCAGAAGTGCATCCGCAGCACTTCCCAAACTGGAATCCCTAATCACCACTACCATCCATCTCAGATGCAGTATTTCACTTTAGCTAATGGAGAAGGCATACGTGTGAACTTTTGCACCCCTGTCCTGCTGGTTGTTGTTGTTTAATCATTAAGTCCTGCCCAACTCTTCGTGACCCCATGGACCAGAGCACGCCAGGCCCTCCTGTCTTCCACGGCCTCCCGGAGTTGGGTCAAATTCAAATTGGTTGCTTCAATGACGCTGTCCATCCATCTCATCTTCTGTCGTCCCCTTCTCCTCTTGCCTTCACACTTTCCCAACATCGGGGTCGTTTCCAAGGAGTCTTCTCTTCTCATGCGACGGCCAAAGTACTGGAGCCTCAGCTTCAGGATCTGTCCTTCCAGGGAGCACTCAGGGTTGATTTCCTTCAGAACGGATAGGTTTGATCTCCTTGCAGTCCAAGGGACTCTCAAGAGCCTCCTCCAGCCCATAGCCATTAGTTTTGCTTCAGAAGGAGCAAGGAAGTTGGCAAAGAAGCAAGCTTTTGGTCACCTCCAGCACGGTTCTGTTGGTGCAGCTGAAGAGTACCTGCTTACTCTGCGCATACTTACTGGGAATGGTTGAAAACAATCTGGAAGACCCATCTTTTAAGAGCTCAAAGCGAATCCCATAAATTGCTTTATTTACATTGAAGGTGACGATACTGAAGATGGATGCCAGTGCTTCCCCCCCCCTTTCCAAAATTTTTCTGTGACTCTGGCTCCGGGTTGTCCTTAATGGAGAAACTGGGACATCCGATCCCTTCCTTTGAAGCGAAAAGACCAAGTGATACATTCCATGACGCATCTGTGACAGCCAAAGGATGACAAGTGGTTTTCTACACTTTGTTCCTGGAGACCAAACAGTCTGTCTACAATAAAACTAAATTTAAACAGGCAGATGAACTTACCAGAATGGTACGGAGGATTCTAATGTTAGATACCACTGGAGGGATGAGCTGTCTGCTCTGACCGAGATTTTAAATAGGAGACTGACAATGGGCAAAGTCTTAGAAGTTTCATATCTGCATTGAAGCTGGCACCACTAAATATTGAAACTGCTATTAGTACTGTTGTTGTTTTGTGATCTAGTCGTGTCCGGCTCTTCGTGACTCCACAGACCAGAGCACGCCAGGCCCTCCCGTCTTCCACTGCCTCCCAGAGTTGGGTCAAAGTTATGTTGGTCGCTTCGATGACCCTGTCCATCCATCTCGTCCTCCGTCGTCCCCTTCTCCTCTTGCCTTCACACTTTCCCAACATTATGGTCTTTTCCAGGGAGTCTTCTCTGGAAAAGAAGTACTGGGTGAAGCCAAATGAGGGTTAAATTGATTCAGGAGCAAATCATATAATCATGAAGTTGGAAGGGTCCTATAAGGCCATTGAGTCCAACCCCTTGCTCAAGGCAGGAATCCAAACTAAAGCAGACTGGACAGATGGTGGTCTAAGTGTCTCTTGAACTCCTCCAGCGCTGGAGCGCTCCCCACTTCTCGAGCTCATGGGTTCCATTGTTGTACTGCTCTAACAGGTAGGAAGTTTTTTCCTAACTGTCAAAGGGGAAAACAGGATATTTAGACTTAAATCTACCCGTGTGTGTAAATATTGGTGGCACCTCAATCCCTTTCAAGGGCATTTTGTCTCTGTAGAAGATATATTCAACCTAGACAGGTTTGCTGAGAAATAAGTCCTGTTTTGTTACTCGGGCTCTACTTTAAGGCAAGAAGGCATAAAACTGCAGCTCTGGATCCTTTATAGAGCAGTCCTATGCACACTTATTTACAAGTAAGTCCCCCTGGGGTTTACCCAATTTAATGAAATTCACTCCCTAGGAAGCGTTTGTAGGACTGCAGCATTAACATAACCCTACATGTGTCTGCTCAGAAGCAAATTCCATTGGCTTCAGCAGCCATCTTGTCCAGGGAGATACCTGACATTCGCAACTCTTATTGGACCCAGTGGGACTTACTCAAAAGATATTAATAGGACTGCTGGTAATTCCATGCGCACAGCTTTGGATACTTTGATGCCTATGTGGTAGAACCACATGGTTTGATTTCACTACCTGCTGAAGAAGTGAACTGTCTAAATGCAGCAGAATTTTAACACAGCATCCCTAAGATAAAATACGGATTGGTTGATAGTGTGATGTAGGTTGTTGTTCTTTAGTCATTGAGTCGTGTCCGACTCTTCGTGACCTCATGGACCAGAACACGCCAGGCCCTCCTGTCTTCCACGGGCCCCCAGAGTTGGGTCAGATTCATGTTGGTCGCTTTGCTTAGGGCTCTCCTGACACAATGAACTACTCATCTCATCATCCTAACTAGTAGCTCGTTGAAGATTATGGAGCTTGTAGCTTCTCCTGACCTGGATGGAGAGGAACACATCTGGAAGATTCCAGCCTGATGATGGCTGATCAGGAATCCGTTCTGATGAGTTGATGGACCAAAAACTATTTGATGGCATGAAATAATTTGGTTATTTTCAGAAGGCTGACTTTATTCACCCCATCGTGGTCTAACCATGCAACTGTACTGACTTTACTGGGCATGAAATTGGGTTTCCTCAACACAGAGTATTCAGAACCTTGATTCTTTCCACCTAGAGGTGTGACTTTGGACAAAAAAATGGCTTCAACTTGTAATCCGGGACTGTATTTGCTTTCTCTTTTACAGGGAACACAGGCTTAGCAAAGGCATGGCCTCTCTCTAAGCCACGCTCTTAATCCTCTCTGCTCCTGTGGATTATATTTTCCCATCTGTATGAATTTGCCTCTTTCCAAAGGGACTCAACTGGCTCTTTGATCTGTCAAAAGTGCCCAGTCACCCTCCAAAGGCCAAAGATTAATCGGCAGGTGCCGTGTTTGCCCACCATGACTTGTAGCATTCAACCAGCTGGTCAGGAGCAAAGTTAAGTGACCCCGTTCTCCTAAATGTTGCCTGCGATTTCAAGAAAAGAGAAATTGTTCCCCTAAAACATGGGAGATTAGAAATCATTTTTTTCAACAATAACAAAAAAGGTTGAAGACCATTGTAGATAAAAAGAGATGAAAATCAAATGCTACCTGAATTCCTGATTAAGGTTTGTTTTTCCCCCCCAATAATTAGAGAATAGTTTTGGACTAAGTTACCTAGATCACAAGCGATGACAAACCTAGACAGCATCTTAAAAAACAGAGACATCACCTTGCCGACAAAGGTCCGAATAGTCAAAACTATGGTTTTTCCTGTAGTGATGTATGGAAGTGAGAGCTGGACCATAAAGAAGGCTGACCGCTGAAGAATTGATGCTTTTGAATTGTGGTGCTGGAGGAGGATCTTGAGAGTCCCCTGGACTGCAAGGAGAACAAACCGATCTGTTCTGAAGGAAATCAACCCTGAGTGCTCCCTGGAAGGACAGATTCTGAAGCTGAGGCTCCAAGACTTTGGCCATCTCATGAGAAGACTCCCTGGAAAAGACCCTGATGTTAGGAAAGTGTGAAGGCAAGAGGAGAAGGGGACGACAGGGGATGAGGTGGTTGGACAGGGTCACTGAAGTGACCAACATGAATTTGACCCAACTCCGGGAGGCAGTGGAAGACAGGAGGGCCTGGCGTGCTCTGGTCCATGGGGTCACAAAGAGTCAGACACAACTTAACGACTCAACAACAACAATGTGCTCAACTTTCATAAATACACATTTTATCATTCAGTAGGTCACAGTCTTGATGCTCCATTTCTGTCCCAAGTCCACCTGATCCCCTAACAGCTACCCTAGGCCATGGTAGGACTGCTCAAAGTGAGGGACGCCGGGGCACCCTCCCTGTTAATCAACCAAATCAGGGGAACTATTTTTAGAGGAAGCAGCCCCCACAACACGAACAGATTTTTGTTTAGTCACAAAGCAGATCAGAGATCTCTCTCTGCTCTTTATTCAGTTCTGACTTTAAGAGTATATTTTTAGCCCCTTAAGCCTTGCTCTGGATTTAGAAGCTGAGAGCAGAGTCCTGGCATCTGTGTGTGTACGTGCATGGCCGAGGGAGGTAAAATCATCCTCACGGCTCGTGGGGCTGATTTCTGGCGCTTTCGGGTTTTGATTCACTCTGAGGCATAAATCCGTCTCACACCCATGTTGTCGCTAAGGTCACACACGAGTCTTTCTGGTGAGGGGTTGTCAGGAAAAGACCTCTTACTTGGGGGGGGGCGTCACCACCGCTCCAGCCATCGATCTAGAATTACACTTACAGCTGTTACTCATCTTCCTTGTGTCGCCCCCCATCACAGAGCGCCACCCTCCCCAAGAGGGCCAGTTTGTCATATTAAAAGGTGATCGGCTTACACACATTCCCAAATGGATTCCCTAAGCTTCGTAAGGCTGTAGCTATATATATGTTCAGAAACCCCTCTTGCTGTGGAAGCCGAGACACATCGCCAGCGACAGCTCCACTGGCTGAGCCTTCCTTTTTCTCTTCCCTGCTCCGTCTAGAATCGAAAGAGGGCTCTGAGAATCTTGGGTCCCTGAGATCGAGGCGGGGGGAAAAACACACACGGCATACGACCTCAGGACATGGCTCTGCCCTTAGACCACGCCGAGGAGTTGCGGCTCTACCAGCAAACCCTTCTGCAAGATGGGCTCAAGGACTTGCTGGATCACAACAAGTTCCTGGATTGTGTTTTGAAGGTGAAAGGGAAGGTGTTTCCGTGCCATCGGCTGGTCCTGGCCGCCTGCAGTCCCTACTTCCGGGCCATGTTCCTCTCGGACATGGAAGAGGGGAAGAAGAAGGAGATCAGCTTAGAAGACGTTGACCCAGATGTCATGGGTAAGATCCTCCACTACATCTACACCTCCGAACTGGAGATCACCGAGCAGAACGTCCAGGACATCTTCTCCGTGGCCAACATGTTCCAGATCCCTTCCATTTTCACCGTCTGCGTCTCTTTTCTTCAGAAAAGGCTGTGCCTCAGTAACTGTCTGGCCATTTTCAGGTTGGGCCTGATGCTGGATTGTGCCCGGCTGGCGGTGGCCGCCCGGGATTTCATCTGTGACCGCTTCACCCTGACCTCCCGGGACGAGGAGTTCCTCCAGCTTTCTCCAGACGAGCTCATTGCCATCATCTCCAGCGATTCCCTCAACGTGGAGAAGGAAGAGTCCGTCTTCGAAGTCGTGATGAAGTGGGCTACAGTGAAGGACCAGGAGAGCCGTCTCCAGGCTTTGCCGGTGGTCTTTGAGAGCATCCGCTTCCGGCTCATGGACAAGGATTATGTCCGGGATCAGGTGGAGAAGCATCCTTTGGTCAAGGGCAACCCGGAGCTCCTCAAGAAGATGCAGATGGTGAAGGATGCTCAGGAGGGGAAATTCACAGTGGTGAAAAAGATTAAGAAGAAAGGAGAGAAGAAGCTTGGGGACGTCATAAATGGAGGGGTGGAGGAGGAAGGAGGTGGCAAGGAAGAGGAGGTGGAGGAGGAGGAGGCGCTTCCAGGGATCTTGAACGACACAATGCGCTTTGGGATGTTCCTCCATGACCTCATTTTCATGGTCAGTGACTCAGGGGCGGTGGCCTACGATCCGAGCGCCAACGAATGCTATTACGCCTCCCTCTCCTCCCAGATCCCAAAGAATCATGTCAGCCTGGTCACCCGCGAGAACCAGATCTTCCTAGCAGGAGGACTTTACTACAACGAAGACAATAAAGAGAATCCCATGAACTCCTATTTCTTGCAGGTACAGGCCATGTTTCTCCCCGTGTGCAATTGATTGCAACTGGGCTGAAAGCCATATTTGTCTCCATTTGGGATGACCGGCTCTATAGACTTCAGTGTGTTTTTGGTCCAAGCAGGTTCAGGCAAATCCTGGTTCCACCAGACATTTTCCCTAGTCCCAACGCCTTGTATAATAAGGGGAATGGGTTGAATCCTGAATGGTTGCGTGTTACCAGTTTCAATTGATTTGCTTAAAACGCAAGTACGTATGGCCTTTTGGGTTCGAACAGTTAGGCTAGCTCAGCCTCCAGTTTCCAACAATAGACGGTCAGGTGCCTCTACAAGTTGACATAAGGGTAACAGAAATGCTCTGCTTAGCATCTTCTGAGTTATTCAAGAGATATGAGCTTTTGCTGGCCTAAAGTGGTCAATAATGATTGTGTGTGGTCAAGTCAGTTTTGATTTAGGGTTACCCTTTGCAGGGTTTTTTCCAGGTAAAGAAGTGCTATACCATTCCCTTCCTCTGGGGGGCACCCTGGGATGGTGCAGCTTGCCCAAGGCCACCCAGGCTGGCTTTTCTCCCAGGAGGCACAGTGGAGGAATCGAACTCCTAACCTCTGGCTCCACAGCCGGAGACCTCAACCCTTGAGCTATCTAGCCAGCTGTAAGGTGATGGAGGAGGCCCAAACATAAGAGGAACTCCGCTGGGACTGATAAAAATGGTCATCTAAGGCAACACCCTAAGGTTCACAATAACTGCCCATGATAGAGGTCTTTAAGCAGAGCATCACAGAGATTAGGAATCGAACTCCTAGCCTCTGGCTCCACAGCCGGAGACCTCAACCCTTGAGCTATCTAGCCAGCTGTAAGGTGATGGAGGAGGCCCAAACATAAGAGGAACTCCGCTGGGACTGATAAAAATGGTCATCTAAGGCAACACCCTAAGGTTCACAATAACTGCCCATGATAGAGGTCTTTAAGCAGAGCATCACAGAGATGCTATTATTGCCGGGTGGTGTGGTTGAGACCACAGAGCCTTCGCAACCTCTTCCAATCCTTGTGGTCCAAATCCTAGTGTCCTTTTATGCCAGTGTTAGGTAAATAGCGTAACTTTTTGGTGGCGAATTGGTGCAAGTTAAGAAGCCAGCGTGGACAGTTGGTTGCCGGGTGGTGAGGTTTAGAGCCTTTGCACAGAGCCTTTGCAACCTCTTCCAACTCTTTGGTCCAAATCCTATTGTCCTTTTATACCAGTGTAAAGTAAATAGCGTAAGTTTTTGGTGGCAAATCAGTGCAAGTTAAGAAGCCAGCGTGGACAGTTTCTGAGTCACGCATCTCAGCAGATGAGAGATTATGCTTGCACTGACTTTTGCCCCTTGTAGTCATTTGCTACTCCATTTTGGGTCCACACAACCAGCAGGATTTTGGCCTGTCTGTGCTCCCTGCCTCCTGGCTTATTCATACAGTGCGTAAGTTTTTGGTGGCAAATCAGTGCAAGTTAAGAAGCCAGCGTGGACAGTTTCTGAGTCACGCATCTCAGCAGATGAGAGATTATGCTTGCACTGACTTTTGCCCCTTGTAGTCATTTGCTACTCCATTTTGGGTCCACACAACCAGCAGGATTTTGGCCTGTCTGTGCTCCCTGCCTCCTGGCTTATTCATACAGTCCCCTCCCCATCCCCATAATCATCTAGTAGCATCAACTGTTTCGGTTGCCACAAAGATTCATCATAGCAGGAGTGTGCTGTGCTTAAAGCTCTCTCTCCCCTAAGAAGTATCTCCCCATCATTTTTGGGTGGGGAGATTTCCCGTGGTGGCACCTCTATCACCACTTGAAGCCCCTTGATCCACTGGGGAAGGATTTGTTCTCATGAAGAACAGGTTATCTCAAAAGCAGTCGTTGTGGGTTTGTCGGGCTCTTTGGCCGTGTTCTGAAGGTTGCTCTTCCTAACGTTTCGCCAGTCTCTGTGGCCAGCATCTTCAGAGGACAGGAGTAACACTCTGTGCTCTGGTGCAGTTTGTTTGGGAGTTGAGTATTTATAGCTATGGGATCAGCTTTTGTCCTTTTCAGGAGATGGGTGATTATGGTCATCAGTGTGTTTTTGTTGTGGGTGTATTGTTGTGATAAGTAGGCAAGATTATCTGTCACTGTGATTGATGGGTGTTGTTAGCTGGCCTTCTGTGTGTAGTGATCACCAGCCCTTGTGGCTGGGTAGAGTTTGTTGACCTTTTGCAGGCTGTATTTTTCAGTGCTGGGAGCCAAGCTTTGTTGAGTTTTTAATTTTCTTCTTTTTTGTTGAAGCTCTGCTGGTGTTTGTGGCTTTCAATGGCTTCCCTTTAGAGTCTAATATAATGATTGCTGGTGCTGTCCAGGACGTCTGTGTTTTGAAATAGAATTTCATGTCCAGCTTGTTTTAGGGCATGTTCAGCTGCTGCCGATTTTTCCAATTGTCTCAAAAGCTCAAAAGCTACCAGATGTGATGGCTTTGTAGAACCTCAACATCCAGGACAGCTCAGCCCCAGATAAATTGGTGAGGAACAACAGTAGAGAAAGACGCACTTGTGTTTGATGTTCTGCAAGTACTGGAACATCTTGGAAACATCTGGCTGGCCAGTGGAAGAAGCAGGGCACTGTCTTATTTGCCCTGATTCCAAAGAGACCCTTTCTTATATTTGAACATCCTGGGGACTAAGACAATTTACCTTTTGGACTACAACTTCTCTAATCCCTAAACCAGCACACTAGCTTCTGGAAATTATAGCTCAACAAAGTAACTTCTGCTAAGTGTGGGCTAAAGATTGCGAACGAAGACTGCAATTAATAGTGGACCACAAGGAGAGCAGTTCTGGCGGCTACCGGATTCTGGATGTTACCAAAAAGCTCTTCAGCATCAGCAGTTAGAATCCGGCTGGGATCTTGGGTTGCTTTTAAAGCTTAATATGATAATAACCAGGGGTCATCAAGTCTTATAGTGATCCTTTTCAAGGTTTTCTAAGTAGAGAATACTCAGAAGTGGTTTACCATTCTCTTCTTCTGGAGATGTTTTCTTCAGACTGTGCAGCTTGCCCAAGGCCACCCAGGCTGGCTCTTCTCCCTAGAGGCACCATGAGGAATCGAACTCCCAACCTCTGATACCTAAACTATTAAGCTATCCAGATCCTTGTTCTTTGTGATGACCATTCATTTGAGTTGGTCTGCTCTACGCGTGTCTCCCTGGTTCTCGGCGGGCCTCCTGATTTCCAATAGAGATCGGATCGCCATTTTTGGAGCGTGTTTGTGTTTTCAACTTTTCTCCTTATGCTTTTTTTTTTCAGTACGATCACCTGGATGCGGACTGGCTTGGCATGCCCCCACTCCCATCTCCCCGCTGCCTCTTTGGGCTTGGTGAAGCAGAGAACTCCATCTTCGTGGTGGGCGGGAAAGAGCTAAAGGAAGGAGAGCAGACTTTGGATTCGGTCCTGTGCTACGACCGGTTGTAAGTGCCATGGCAGAGAGATGCTTGATGCCCTATTGCTCAGGATGGTCTGTCCTGCGCCCCCCAAAAATACTCCTTTTACCAGCCAGTAAAGTATGCTGGGAGGGTGGCCATGGTGGCTGGTGGATTCTGGGGGAGGAAATTGCCTTTTCCAAGCTTCGCCTAAGAGCCAACATTTAAAATACTCTTTCCAAGCCTGGTGCTGTTCTGAGAGGTGAGACTACACTTCCCATTCACCTCAGTCATCAGTGCCTTGCATTGTTTACATATTTTCAAAAAGTAGCTGGAAGTAACTATTGTAATTACTTTTGAGAAATGGCAACCAAAATCCTTTTTTTTAAAAAAAAAAAAAGGTAAGCACAGCACTAACTTTTAAAAGGATATTTGGGACCATAGTGGTGACTAATTACTTTAAAGTAACTTTAAAGTAAAGTAATTTTAAATTAACTTTAAAGTAACCTTAAAGTAACTTTAAAGTAACTTTCCAAACTCTGTGCTAACCGCAGAGTGGAATCAATGTAAATTTTTATTATTATTTTGAGAGAAAGCGAACTGCGGTTTCCATGGGCACAGGCTAAACTCCTTACAACATCGAATAGAAGCCGGGTTGATGGGGCAGAAACTAGTGTGTTGGAGGCAACTAGGATCAGGCGTGTGGCACTGAATCAATTCCCTGTGACAAGTGTTCATGAAAATAAAAATGGCAGGATTGCGTTTGCTTTTATGAAAAGTGTGGTTAACTAATGTGACATTTCGCTTGGCCAAAAGTTGCTGTTTTGGTACAGAAAGAAAGAAAAAATTAGGGAGAAGATGGATGGAGTGGAGGAAGAGTTCTGGAAAGGCAAGGTTTATGCTGGGTTGATGGGGTTCTTGTGCTTTGAACAGCCTTCTTGCTGTATGAATCAGGAATTCAACACGTGTATCTTTTCTGGAGTGGAGATAAAGGGATAAATTTTCATTTTCTTCTGAATTGTTGTGCATTATGCATTGCAAATGAAATATACAATAAGGGGAAGTGAGTTGAATCTTGGTGAGAGTGGGAAATGTTATGGATTTGCAGGAGTGTGTGACAAAGGAGAGCAGACCTGAACAGTAAGAATGCGCATGGGGAAAACTTTCAATTTTTTTCCCTTTTTGGCTTCTTGTTAGCTACTTGTTTCGTTTTTGGTGTTTTGTGCACCGGTCCCTCCGTTAAACACAAAAGGGGAGGGCACTTCTTTCTGATTCTTTTGTTTTGTTTCTCCCTGTCTGTGTTCTCTCTGACATTCAAACCAGAGCCCTAAACAACTCTTAAAAACTGTACCGAAAAAGCAGGGGCGAGGGAACAGAGAAGCAATCTACTCCAAAAGTGGGCAGCAGTACGGAGGATGAAAAAAAAAGATCAGTCATCATCAGGAGACCGATGCAGGCATTAATTTATATTATCACATTCATAACAGTTGAAATAATACTGCTCTTCTGTCCATCAGGTCCTTTAAATGGGGTGAATCAGACCCCCTCCCTTATGCAGTCTATGGCCATGGTGTCGTATCCCAGGATGACCTCATCTACGCCATAGGAGGAAAAGGAAGCGACAAGTAAGTGAGAGGAGGTTGGACAGAACAGATGGCATGGATACATCACTGGATAAGTAATGCCAGAAAATGATGTGCATATTTAAAAGGGCGAATGCACCCCATTTCTATTGACCTTGAAATCTCAAGGAGGAAAAAGGATTTGGTTGATGTTAGAGAAGGAGAGCTTGGTTGGCCCATATATAGAATGTGAAGATTCTGGGAGTCACAGCTCAAAAAAAAGTAACTTTTCCACCCTGGTGGCAGAATTCTGGTTGTTACAAGCCCCCCAAAAAGGAATTTTTCCAAACTCCGAGCTCTATAAAATGAGTTTGTCATAGGAGTTTGTTTACAAGCCACCTTTCTTTTCATAGGAAATCTAAGTTGTCTCGTGCAGCTTCTTACTGTGATTGTCGATCAAGGGAGGGGAATAGTTCTTGGTTCTGAATGTGAATTCAGTTTAAGAAAAAAATCTCTCAACGGCTGCATTTAATGAGTGGGTGCCGTAGAGCAGCGTATAGTTTAAAGCTCTGACTGCCAGGAAGTAAACCTTAGGACTGGCATTTCACCTTTTAGAATAAGAAAAATCAGTCCAGACACTGGAAAGCCGTCGAAGAATGATAGCACTGGGAAGAGTAGAGTGGTGCCTCGCTAGACCGTTACCCCGCATGACAGTTTTTTTCGCTGGACATTGACTTTTTGCGATCGCTATAGCGATTTGCCGAACAGTGATCCCTATGGGGGAATTTCGCTGGACAATGTTTGGTCCCTGCTTCGCAAACCGATTTTCGCTAGACGACAATTTTGACAGATTCCTCTGCGCTCGCAAAACAGGTGTTTTTGGGATCTAAGCTTCGCAGGACAGTGATTTAAACAGCTGATCGGTGGTTCACAAAGCGGCTTTCCTATGGCCGATCTTCGCTAGACAACGACGATTCTTCCCCATTGGAACGCATTAAACAGGTTTCAATGCATTCCAATGGGGAAATGCTTTTCGCTAGATGATGATTTCACTAAACAGCAATTTCAGTGGAATGGATTGTCTAGCGAGGCACCACTGCATGTGGCTTGCTGGCCAACCCCAGACAAACAGATTTGGCCCGCCAGCATTAAGCTTCCCACCCTAGCTTAGACGCTGGTGTAAAACAGAGGAAAAGAAAACATAACCATCATTAACAATCGACAATGTAATGTTGTTTCCTGGTTCTTTGATTGTGTCAGTACAACATGGGAGTTGAGGATCTATTACGAGAGTGGATCCCAATCTTGGGCATCCAGGTGTTTGTGGACTACAACTCCCAGTACATGGCAGTTGAGGATCTATTACAAGAGTGGTTCCCAATCTTGGGCATCCAGGTGTTCATGGATTAGAACTCCCAGAAATCCTGGCCAACACAGCTAGTGGTGAAGGCTTCTGGGATATGTAGTCCAAGAACACCTGGGGACCCAAGACTGGGAGCCAGTGTATTAAGGCATGAGGTGGTCAAGAAAAGCCAGAAGTTCTCATCTGTCTTTGAAGTCAGGGTGGTGGGACATGTATGGAGCTTAGCATGACTATAGTTTAATAATTCGCCCTTCCCATCACTCCCATTCTCTCCTCTTCCAGGAAGTGCCTTAACACCGTGGTTGTCTACAACCCGAAGAAGTTTGAATGGAAGGAGCTGGCTCCCATGAATACAGCCCGCTCGCTCTTTGGATCAACCATACACAACGGCAAAATTTATGTGGCAGCGGGAGTGACGGACTCCGGTCTGACCAATTCGGTGGAAGTTTACAATATTGCAACCAATAAGTACGCACCCATGCCATTGGCACCCTGTCTACTTTGGTGGCAACAGGTGGACCCCATCCATGTGTGGGCAAAATTAAGGAGGACGCGCTATCCCAAACGGGCAGCGTTTTACACTGAGCACTGATTCCCATTTGCCATGGTGTGGTAGCGGAACCCGAGCTCACGGGATCAACGCTCCAAGACTTTTTGATATGCAGGGTGACATTGCCTTTTTCTGCTTCTGGAACTAGGCAAGGGATGATCTCCCTGGTGACAAGAGATCATTATATGTTGTTCTAGGCGTGATGCAAAGATTCTGGAGTGGCAAACACAGAGATCCACATACCTCTATATGCATAGTAACTCATACACATACCTGACATGACAACTACCACTAGTATAAAGTGTAAACTATTTTTTTCTCTTGGAAGGAAACAGACACGAGACTCTCTTCTGCCTTTGTCATGGTGGGCTCATTACCTATCCTTCTGAGTGGGAGATGATGCCACATGCCTGAGATGAACTCTGGCTACCGATCATGGCAACTAATTCAGCCATGATTCCACACTCTTTTTTCAATGTTTCTCAAACTTTGGGTCCCCAGATGTTCTGGGACTGCAACTCCCAGAAATCCTGGCCAGCTGAGCTGGTGCTGAAGGCTCCCAGGAACATCTGGAGACTCAAGGTTGGGAAACCACTGAGTGCGTCTGAATGTATCTTTCAACGCCACCCGGTCGGGAGGAAGACAGAATTACTCACCCACCGTAGAGGCCGATTGACTAGGACTCTCATGCAGGGAGGCAACGTGAGCTCTGAGCCGTTGTCTCCATCTGCCCATGTTCGGTAGAGTGTGTTCTGATGGCATGTTCTGTCTTCTAACACTTGTGATCTTCGGCAGATGGGAACCCTTCACCGATTTCCCTCAAGAGCGCAGCTCCGTCAGCCTGGTTAGCCTTGCCGGGACACTCTACCTCATTGGAGGTTTTGCCACTGTTGAGACGGAGTCAGGAGAACTGGTGCCAACTGAGCTCAATGACATCTGGAGGTAAGGAATGTTCACCATGGACCTTTGCTTTCAACCTCGTGGACGCGCGTGCAAGGGAAACTAAACCAATAAGGTGGAGGTTTCTTCATTCATCTCCACTTAGATATTATTGCTGCCATATGCACGCCGGTTGTATCAAGCAATGTGTTAACTGGGCAACATGTGTAAAAAGATCACACCATAAGAACAATAATAGAAGTGCTACATTAAAATAAGTTGGCCTTTGGGGGCCACATCCTTTTGCCTTTGGCTTTTGCCACTACAGTGGTGCCTCGCAAGACGAGCGCCCCGTTTAACGA